AGTGGTTATTATGTGTTTTTGAGCATCAAAATCAGAGAGGGGTGACCCTCTCACCCCTTTTCTTGTTTTCTAGCATATTTGGCGTAACAAGGGAGCCCATGTGTGCATGCTTCCAAGCCTTATTTCAGGCCCCTTTCAGTGAGTTTTAGGGCCTGCATAACCTCTTTCTAGAGGTGGTTTTGCCATTTTTGGTGTCCATCATGCATGTGTAGAATAACCCTCTTTATAGCCTATCAAAGGAGCCTATCATTCTTGCATGCATGGACCATGTTTCATTGAGTTTATGGACTTTATTTAGCATGTCATACCCCTAAATTTTTCTGGTTTGGTGGCCACTTGGTTGCCTTATATACTTGTAGTGCAAATCCTCTTTACTGGCTTGTGTTGCATGCTATTTTGGTCCTTGATTCTAGCACTTTTTGGCTATGATTTAAACTGATCTTGTGCATGTTTTGGACTGCCTTAGCTCTATTTTTATGCCGCATGGTCAAATAATGCTTTCTATGCATGGTTGTAGTTTAATACCCTTGCCTAGCTTTGAGTTTCGGGGCCCATTGCATGCTTGTGTTGAGGTGTTTCCATGATTTGGGGCCACTATGCATCATATTTCAGAGCTTATATGTATGCCATATTCCCATGTTTTCCACTCTTTGAATGCGTTTGAGAGTCGTGCTTGTTTGTCCCGTTTTTGGACCATTGCATGAGTTTCATTTCTATGTATGTTGAGCCATCATTTTAGGCCATTTTCCCACTGTCTTGGACCTGCCTAGGGTCTATTTGGGGTTGGTTTTGTCATTTGTACATTGCTTTGTGTACCTATAATGTAATCCGCTTCACTAGTTTCGGTATTCGAGCCATCTAGCATGCATTGTGTGACATATTTGCATGATTCGGGATGATGGTGCATCATGTTTCAGAGTTGGAAAATGTGTGTTTGTATGCCATATTCCATCCCTTGCCATGCTTTGATAGAGTTGCATTTGGTGCCTTAGGTTTGGTCCCTTGCATTTGTGTATGTTTGCATGTGTGTTGTTGCTTCATTTTCATCATGTATGGTCACTGATTTGAGTTATTCATGCATAACTCCATCATTTGAGTTATTCATACACTGAGGCCCATTCATTTTAGTTTAAGTCCATCTTGTATTATGTATGCCATATCCATGTTGTCGTATGCTTGTTCGTCACATTGTGTATGCCTTGTTCATGTCTTCGTGCATGTCCATCTTCGTATGTGCATTGCGTATGCCATATAGTTCATGTGCATTGAGTATGCCATTCTTAGTTCATAGCATTGTGTATGCTAGTTGCACCTTTACATGTCATTTCTTGCATGTTTGCATGTCTTAGTGGCATTGCATTTAGGTTGCATGTTAGAAATGCATTTATGCATGCCATGCATGTTGCATCGTGTTTGGAATAGGATTTGGACCAAACACGAGAAACGAGGGACGTTTTGTACTCAAAGTGACGAAACGTGCTTCAATTCCTGGTCGTCGACACTCTCGACTATCCATGATAGAGTTGTTGGTCTTAGTTTGTGTTTATGTGCATTCATTTTACATCGAGTCATGCAATCTGACTCCTCGGCCATCATGCATTGAGATGCGTGATTGGTGGCACGAGGATCAAGGACTACGCTCCCTAGAGCTTGTGCAATGATGGGGAGAGTGGTCGCGCACACATGTGTTGCAAATACTTTGCCATGCCCCTTTCTTGCTCTCTGTTGTAGCAAACTAGAAGCCAGCAGCAAAAACTGGCCAGTACCCTTCTGGAGCTTTGCACAGTGTCCTGGGACCAGTTGCGAACAGAGGCAAATCGGGGTATCACGATAGATTTCCTGAAAAGGCGACTCGAGCATGCATGCATTCCCTATTATTCAAGGCAGAGCTGAGGCAGCCCATTTCATATAGCTTGCATGCTAATTTATTTGCTTTCTTAGTTAATTTGTTAATTAATTAAGGTTGTGTAATAATTAGTTTAATCAGCTTAGATTAGCTAGTTGGTGGTGTATTATTTATTCGGACCCTCCGAGGAGGGCAATGTTGTAATAAGTGTGCGTGTGTGTGATGTATGTCTTCCAACCCCACGTCTTTCTCCCTTTTATTTACCAGCTTATGATAGTTAGATTAGGGCATGTTTCAATTAGCATACACCATCTTACATGTAATTTTAGAGATGGAAAATGTGTGATTGTATGCCATATTTCATCCCTTGCCATGCTATGATAGAGTTGCATTCGGTGCCTTAGGTTTGGTCTCTTGCATTGGTGCATGTTTGCATGTGTTTCTGCTGCCTAATTCCATCATGTTTGGCCACTAATTTGAGTGTGGCTGAGGCCCACTCATTTTAGTTTAAGTCCATCTTGCATTATGTATGCCATATCCATGTTATCGCATGCTCAATCGTCGCATTGTATATGCTTTGTTCATGTCTTCATGCATGTCCATCTTTGTATGTGCATTGCGTATGCCGTGCATTGCGTATGCCATATAATTCACGTGCATTGAGTATGCCATTTGTAGTTCATAGCATTGCATATGCTAGTTGCATCTTTGCATGTCATTCCTTGCATGTCTGCATGTCTTAGTTGTATTTTATTTAAGATTGCATGCTAGTCACATTATTTCATTGTGTTTGGAATAGGGTTTAGTCCAAACACGGGAAACGATGGACATTTCGTACTCCAAGTGACGAAACGTGTGAGAACCTGAATATAAAAATTAAGTAAATAATTAAATAATAATATTACAATCTCAAATATTTTGGTGGTGAATTCTAAGGTGCAAATTAAATATTATTGAAGGATCTTTTAATTAATTTTTAAACCTAAAATAAATTTATGGTGGATGGAAATTCTTGATCCTAAAAACATAAATTTTAAATTTTGAGGAATCATATCAAACGGAGGAATTTTGAACTGAGATTTTTACAGTAGATCAATTACATATTGAATTGCATATCTGATTTTTTTCACAATTTTTGGGAGTCGAAATCCATATAAATTGAGGTATTCAAATTTGTCCAGGAAACCAGTCCGAAACAGTAAATTCAGGAGTGTTGTTCTCTTTGGGTATAAATCCAAAACTTATCAAATTAGTGTCATTAGAACCGGTTACGAGTCTAGTTTTTTACGTTTTGGCCTTGCATTGATTTATCGTGTATATTAAGAGAACCGTCAATTTCTTTAAAGTGCTGCAGAAAACAACCTGTTTGGATATAATAAATTGTAGATAATTATTTTGATAAGAAAATCAAGTGAAACCAATTGGGTTTGAAACTTAGGATATATTAGTTGATATCTGGAGGGTTTTATAATGAAGATGGATTAATGAGGGAGGGTGACGACACAGACGAAGAATATGACCTACAAAGTGATTTTGATACAGATGTTGATGTAGAATCTTGATGTATATCATGCTTTAGTGCATGTCATAATTAGAGCAATGTAAATGTTCAACTGGTGCACAAATGCAAAGGAAACTCATTATAATGAAGGGGGATCTATCTTTGTAAATGTCAATATCTCGTGATATAAACCACTATCATGAATGATTTTTTTTCTTTTATTTTGGAACAATTGGTGCTTGTCAAACTTCTATTATTATGAAAATTCTATAGTTATAATAAGAAAATCTGGAAATCTGAAAATTCTGAAAATCTGAAATCTGGAAATCTGGAAATGTGAAATATGGAAATCTGAAAATCTGGAAATTCTGAAAATTCTATGACAAATTCTAAGTTTTGACATTTTCCACATTTTCCAGATTTGCAGATTTGGACAAATTCTATGACAGATTTTACATTCTATGAGTTGTTTGGTGCTTGATTTAGATTCTTCTGCTGGTATGCTTGTGCTAGAGTTAGCTTGCCCCTCTATTGTTTGCTTTGCATAGTTTGCTGGTTTATGTTTTGCGAAACTGATGTGTATTGATTATTGGGACCATGTGTGTATTTAGTCCAGGGAAATTATTCCACTGTGTGTGGTGACTCTGGCCACTAGGGAAGAGATCCGGCTTGGGCCGTGATGACTCTAGTGCTCAACGATTGTAAGGAACAGACCTTTAAAAATAACTAGGTGACCTTCAATCGGATCGTCTTTGAGAAAAGGCCCAGGTGCCACCCTGAGGATGACTCTTAGTTCGGTATTGGATCCAACGGGGCTTATAGCCTTGAGAACAGTGTGGCAGATTATTTGTTTTTATTGGTACCCAGAAAATTATTGGTGTTCATGTTATAATCTGTTTTAAGTGGAAAATGTCATTTATCATGTTCTTGCGAGACATGAGTATTTTAAGTGTTGAACTGTGGAACTTGCTTTTTGAAACAGATTGTATTTACCAAACTGTATGCCAATCTAGTTTCTGTGATATATATCTTATTTTGGAATTGAACCCTGTTTTCAAAACTGTATTTACTATCCATGTTGCTGCTCACTGAGCTATCAGCTGACTTAGTTGTTTACCAATTCCAGGTGTTAGGAGGACTTAGAGTGGACTCATGGCGTAGCAGGGACTCAATTGCATGGACCTCTAGGGCGTTTATTTAATTTGTTTTAGGTTGCTTTGTCAAGTTTGTGCATATTTATATTTATTCTTATCGAAGTTCATTTAGGATTATTTTTGATATGTGGGTTGTTTATATCCCATAAGTTTGGATGGTTTTTTATTACGGTTGATTTTGCCATTTATAATTGTCACATGTCTGGATTGAGTTTTGGTTATTTATTATTGGACTATTGTTCAATTGTTCAATGTGATTGGATTCGTGTTTAGGCTTACGTGTGCCTTGGGCTAAGTCCCTGTGGGCCACGGCCGGTCACGCCCGGATTTGGGGTGTGACAATTGTGGTATCAGAGCTATAGATTTATCAAGTTACATACCTTGCATTTCATCATTTAGACGAGGTCCGAGTCCCCATAGTCCTTAGTAGTGTTTGGTTAAGTTAGTTTTGTTTAAGCTTGTGTTGAGCTTTTCTTAATTTCGTTTTGAAGGTTAAGAGATGGCACCTAGGAGAAGAAGTATCAATGCTCTTGGAACTGATCAACCAGCTACTAATCGTAGAGTTCCCCTGTTCCTATACCCCCTACCGTACCACCTATTGCTCCAGTCGTCCCTGAAGCACCAGGAGTTGTTCCTGCTACACCAGCCGCACAGGTTTTACAGTCATTGTTGGGATTACTGAACAGTCATGTAGCCCCACAACCAGCAGTTCACCCAACTTTAACTTTGGAGCTACTAATCGTAGAGTTCCCCCTGTTCCTATACCCCCTACCGCACCACATGTTGCTCCAGTCGTCCCTGAAGCACCAGGAGTTGTTCCTGCTGCACCAGCCGCACAGGTTTTACAGTCATTGTTGGGATTACTGAACAGTCATGTAGCCCCACAACCAGCAGTTCACCCAACTTTAACTTTGGATAGAGGTTCCTTATTTGAGAGGTTTATGAAGGCAAAACCTCCAGAATTTCACGGAACAGTGGACCCTACGGAGGCAGAGGCATGGGTACTAGAGATGGAGAAAATATTTGATGTTTTAGGTTGTTCAGCAGACCAGAAGGTGGCCTTCGCAGCTTTTAGGTTCAAGGGTCAAGTAGAGCATTGGTGGCGCATGGTGAAGCGTCAATATGAGAGTAGAGAAACAGAGCTAGTGTGGAGCAAGTTTCTAGAATTGTTTAATGAGAAATACTTCCCTGAAGCGGTGCGAAGGCAGAAGCAAGTGGATTTTCTCAATTTCAAGCAAAATGACATGTCAGTGGCTCAGTATGAAGCCAAGTTTGCGGAGTTGTCGAGGTATGCCTCACATCAGGTGGCCATAGAGGAAGATAGAGTGATGTTGTTTGAGAATGGCTTGCGGTCAGAGATCTATGTAAAAGTAGCTATTTTGGAGATGAAGACATATTCTGCATTGGCAAGCAAGGCATTACTAGCTGAAAGGGGAGTAGAAGAGGAAAAGGGAGCTGAGGAATAAAAGGTGACAAAACGTGTCTCGATTCTCGATCGCTTACGTGTGCCTTGGGCTAAATGTGATTGGATTCTCGATTCTCGGTCGATTCTCGATTCTCAATTCTCAATGTGATTGGATTCATGTTTAGGCTTACGTGTGCCTTGGGTTAAGTTCCTATGGGCCACGGCCGGTCACGCCCGGATTTGGGGTGTGACAAAACGTGTCTCGATTCTCGATCGCCGACACTCCGAATTACCCATGACGAAGTTTAGGCCTTGTTGTGTTTATATGTGCATTCATTCTACATCGAGTCGTGCAAATTGACCCCTCGGCCATCATGCATCGAGATGCGTCACTCCCTAGAGCTTACGCAATGACGGGGAGAGTGGTCGTGCATACATATGTTGAAAATACTTTGCCATGCCCCTTTCTTGCTCTCTGTTCTAGCAAACCGGAAACCAGCAGTAAAAATTGGTCGGTAGTATCCCTACAGCATGGTGGAGTTTCAGCCTTCTGGAGTTTTGTATAGTGTTCTGGGACCAGTTGCAAAGAGAGGCAAATCGGGGCATTGCAATAGATTTTCCGACAAAGCGACTCAAGCATGCATGCATTCCTTATCATTCAAGACCGAGCTGAGGCAGTCCATTTTATATGTTTTGCATGCTAGCTTATTTATTTTAGTTAATTTGTTAATTAATTAGGGTTGTGTAATAATTAGCTGTAATTCGTTATTCATTTGGTTCTGCATTATTTATTCGGACCCTCCGAGGAGGGCAATGTTGTAATAAGTGTGTGTGTGTGTGATGTATGTCTTCCAACCCCACATCTTTCTCCTTTTTATTTACCAGCTTATGATGGTTAGTTTTAGGGCACATTTAAATTAGCATCCTTATGCTCGTATGTTTGCATCCATTCATCTGTTTGCATGCACCGGGCTCGGTGCATCATACTAACTGCATTGTATTTCAATTCCGAGTTGAATACGTGTATCAGTTGTTGCATCTCATATGCCATCTTAGAATAGCCGAGCCTATCGTAATTGCATTTTTTCATATGTTGCATTAGGCATTTCAGCATAGTTAGGATTCATGCATGTTTTCTAATTAGCTTCTTTCTTTGGCTTGAAGTACTCGGTAAGTATTTACGCTCTAGCATCCTTGCATGCGTGTGAGTGACTGCCATAATAGCATGCTTACCATGAGGCTATGTGCTTATGTGATATAACTGCCTGAATGCCTGTGGGTGGAGGTTGGGTTATTTGAATTGGAACAATGCATTGAATGAGAGTTTTTTTTTAAAAAAGCCCGCTTGAGAGTGGCAAAATCATGTTTTCTAAGCCCACCTGAGGGTGGCAAAACCCGTGTCTTAGCCTACTTGCGAGTAGCGCCTTCAAACCGTTTTTCAAAACGAACATAAGATGTTTTGTTCCAACTCAAACGATCCAGTCTATACTTGTATGCTGTGTGCATCACATAGTAATTCTAGGCTAATAACCGAAATAAGAGCACATAATGTTTTCAAAACTCGATATCGTGGTTAATAGAGGTCGATCTTTGATAGGGCGAACGGGGTTGCTCACGAAGTGACCTTCCCCAATCGTACCCAAGTTCCCGAGCCAAGGCAACTTTGGTAATGATGGACACGTGGCCTTAGGCAACGAGTCAGGGTTTCCTAAATTTTCCAAAATAAAATATTCAGGTGGCGACTCTGTATCTGGCAAAGCAGTCCATGTTTGGCACTTCTTTCAAAAAAAAAATCTGGTTTCAAAAACGATTTACCGGATTTGGACTCTTTGATGATTCATCGGTCTTGCATTACACTCTGCGAGATTAGATACAAGACCGTGACATTGAGTCCTGAACTGTAGTGAGCCTAATGAACAAAACAGGATTCCCTCCCGGGACGTTCGGGGATGTCTACAGTCACCATCTTCAAAAGATAAAGGTCGTCTCCTCTTATCAGCAAACTCTTTTGTCGTTTTTAGACCGTAGCTAACCTCTTCCGAATGAGAACAACTTTCTCGGTTGTCTCTTTAACAATTTTCAAACCCAGTAACGGTGCATCACCCACTTCAGCCCAACAAATCGGTGATCTACAAGGTCGGCCATATAAGGCCTCAATTGGTGCCATCCCAATACTAGCTTGGTAACTATTGTTGTAAGCAAACTCAATCAATGGTAAGTGCCTTTCCCAAGACCCCTTAAAATCAAGGACACAAGTGACATCCCCTTTCATACCCCTCCACTAAAACTGACGACTAAGATCATGATACATTTTAGTGCCTCCCGGGTGTACCGCAAGGCGTGAGTGATGCAACTCCCAAAGTACTTCCTCTTTACAAGATTCTAGTATAAACAAACGGTCTAGGTAATGTACACTCAGATCCGAGTGAACGTTCAAACCTTTCTCTTCCTTCCCATTGGAAATCTTAACACTGATTCATTCTACATCACGGTCTCCTCGTTGTGCCTCTATGGCCTTACTAACCAAGGTAGGTTGAGCATTCAAAGTAAACAAGGTAACACTCTCTCCAGACTCATCCAAGTACAAATCAAACTTGCTAATAACATGTAGCATATCCCATTCCCGAATGGCCACACTTGCCAAACTACTCACAGATTTTCGACTCAAAACATCGGCCACCACATTGGCCTTCCCTAGATGATAGTGTAACTCAAAGTCATAATCCTCCATAAATTCCATCCACCTCCGTTGTCGTAAACTCAAGTCTTTTTGAGAAAACAAATACTTTAGACTTTTATGATCGGAGAAGACTTCAAACTTCTCACCATACAAGTAATGCCTCTAAATTTTCAAAGCAAAAATCACAGCTGCTAATTCTAGATCATGCGTCGGGGAATTTTTCTCATGAGTTTTCAATTGTCGTGAATTGCCCCCTGGACGCCCGCGAGCTGACCGGGCAGCTCGACCCCCAACCGGCCCAGTCAAAGTGGCAAAACATGATGAAAGGATTGAAACCAGGATCGCTACAAAAGTTGATTTCAAATAGGCTACAATCTGATTGTAATATATTGCATTATATAAACTAATGATAAATATTTTATTTTGCAAAGCCCACTCATATAATACATTTCTTATTTCTATCCCAAGTGAATGGCCAGTGTATGGAAGTTCAACTAATCTAAATAAAATGATTCTTTTATTTAATTTCCAATCATTATTAATAAAATGTGCAATGATACCTTGATATTCTAAATCGTTATTTGACCACAGATCAGATATTAAACAAACTCTTCTATTCAGATTTTTTAAAATGTCAAATAATTTACTTTTAATATTATTAAATTTCTTTAAAATTTTGTTTCTAGTAGTATCTTTGAAAAACCTTGATATTGCAGGGCAAAACCTCTGCGAATTATTTTTCCTAAAAAATCGAGACATTTACTAGTAGTAAAAGGTTGTTCTTTTTTAATAACATAATCAATTACAAAATTTTGTGCATGTATAGGATCATATGAAAATGTTTACAAATTATCAATTGATGAACCTTCTAATTGCATTTGAATTCTAATGTCAGGTTGTTGACTTTGTAAATGTCTTTGAGCATGCCTTTTTAGATAGCTAGTAACCCCCTGCCGATGCAGTACTAAGTAAATGTACACAATATTTACATTTTGCTTTAAATACAATTGTACCATCAAGACTAGTTACAAATACTATTTTAAAATGCTCTCAAACAGTACTAGATGTGCCCCTAGATGATGATGCTACTATTAGAAGAGAGATATTAGCATGCCCGGCCTTGAGATTTCTAGGGCCTAAAACCGATAATCAACTAATAAATTTTTGGGGCCTTTCACATTTTTTTTTTTCATTGAATGAATTTATTTTTTTTTTTTTAAGGTAAAGGACAAAATATTTGTATCAAAATCACAAAAAATACTTAGCATTACATTACAACAACTAATAAGTATCAGTTGATCCTCGCTTTTCTTGCATTTTTAGAAGTAGATAAATCAATCATACTTGCATAATCTACTTTTTTTGTAAAATCATTTTCAATGGATAACAATGCTCCATTAAATATTTCTTGTGACATGGTTGATCGAAGGTAATTTTTGATTATTTTCAACTTTGAAAAGCTTCTTTCCCCGATGCAACTATAACCGGAATAGTCAAAGTATCCTATAAGCAACCCATGAATTTGGGAAACAATTTGTAATCAACTGCGGATGATCTCTTCCATCAATATCGGAAATCTCACCATATTTTAAAAATTCTTCAAGGTTCACACACCCCGCCTTCAATGATGCATCGCTGCACTTTTTCAAGTCAAACAAAAAGCCAAAGTTTGCCTCATATACTTTAAATTGTTCAAACCTATTTTTGAGTGAACAAAGGGCTTGATCAACAAAATAGAAGAAGTAATCAACTCTAAATGATTCTTCAGCCGACTGGATCACTTCTTTGCTAACATTCTGATCAAATTGTTTCTTTCTAGAAATAATGCGCTTTTCAACAAATATAGGTTCAATTCGCATTTTACTTGCCATTTTTTTAGCTTCAACCATAGCCTCCATGAAACCAACTTCTTTGTACATTGCAGCATACTTAACAAGCCCATCTAGTTGCTTTACAGCAACTGCTATATCCATATCTTCACTTTGAAGAAGCTTGCTAACAGAGTTTACATGAAACAACGAATTATACCAAATTACAATACTAAACAAGAACTCAAAAGTCTCAAGTTCATGAGTTACCAGGGATTTAGCTTCACTTTTTGCAATTGAATCTGTGGTAGGATTGTTGTACAAGTCAGCTAAAGCATCTCTTATTTTTGAAACATGGTATTTTAGTGGTTTAACACTTTCAATGCGACTTTCCCAACGTGTTTACGACAACGACTTAACCGTGAGGCCTTCCTTTAGATTATCTTTTTAAATTGTCCAACGTTGAACGAAAGATGAAAACAATTCATATATGCGTCGTACCACACCAAAAAAAGTTTTTGTTTTAAAGCAAGAGTTGGCCATATTACAAAGCACAAGGTTAAGACTATGACA